ACGAGATAAATAAAACCTTGCATGAGACCGGCAACGCATTTGAAAAAAATGTCTGTACTCATTTGCAGCTCTAACGCAGGGCAATAATAACATCATAATAATTTCAAGTACCGCTGCATATACCGCTAATATATACCATAGACAATCAATTACTGTACATAGAAGGCTTTTTGAAAATTTATAAAAATGTAGCAAACACCATGTCCCCGCCCCCCTTTTTTTTGGGGGGGAGGGGGTATTCAAAGTGCGAGATAGCACAGAATTTATTAGGATCTGAAGTACAACTTTTTTATAGATAAAAACCAATAATAATATTACCCATTTTCCATTTATTCTGAATTATTCCAGTTGAGAGTATTAAATTCAAAAAAATGATATATAACAGGCCCGTAGCCGGGGTGGGGGTTTATGGTTCGGGCGAACCCCCCTGTTTTCTAGCGAACCCCCTCGAATTTTTGAATAAGTCCCACTCGGACGAAATATCTGTTTTCAAATTAGGCCCTACCCAGCATTAAATATCAAAATTTAGCACTAATTCATTATTTGGTCATCCGTTTTTAAATTGTAGAAATTGATACAAGCCTACATTCATAGAATAGGCCTATCTCAGCTCTAGAAGTTCGGAGATTTAAATTGAACGCAACTCCAGCAAACCATGACTTTACGATGGCTCACATAAGGATGGCAAACATCGATAAAAACCCGGCTGCCGTCTCACCTTTCACTGGCCTTTGGCTGAATGTTTGTAAGAAATGTACCAACCGGTCGCCGTCTACCTAGAGTAAATGGTGCCACCAAACGAAGCTAAAGTTTTGCGACTTAATCAACCAATGCAGATAAAGTTTTGCGACTTAATCACCTGATTGTGGATTGTGTGGTTAATAAATTCCATAGCCACACTGTCCATAGCGCACACTAAACTATGTGCTGATGGAGCACTTTTGGGAAATTGAATCTCCTTTTTTCCATTCCAAACAAAATATTATTCATAAATCAACATGGTCCATCTCAGTCATCATAGCCAGTCACAAAATTAGGCTATGAAGTTTGTTTTCAACAGCAGACACACACAACAGAACGGAGTGCGTCAATCGGAGTTTGTTATTTTTTAGTGATAAAGAATTATAACGTAGAATAACTGACTTTTTTCGTTTGCTGTTGCAAAGAAGAAAACGACAGATAGTCCTTTAAGGTGATTACAAAATCAATTAGCCTAGCCTAGATGTTGACTAGCTAGGTTCGCTCCTCGTTCATTTAGTGACAGAATTATACTCCGACGACAACAAACTAGTGTAGGCCTAGGCCTAAATACAGTAGGACGTACTACTTGGCCTAGGCTTTTGGTGTAAAAGTTAAAGTGCATGTACAGGATGCGCCATAGGCCTATATTTAAAAAAATGTCAGTAGTAATGGCAATATTTGTAGAATATATGTAGTGAAATAGTAGGCCTACTATTATTTTCAGTGTATGAAATAAGAGTAAAGAAGAAGTAGTAGAACAAGAAGTATAGGAAGAGGAAGAAGAAGAAGAAGAAGAAGAAGAAGAATAGCCTTTTTTTGTTTTATAATAATAAATGTGTTGAGTATATTGATATTGATTATGCGATGAGGGTTTTCTTTTATGTTTTTCGGTGTGATTTAAACATGCCAATTCTCAGAAAATATTTAATTATAATTATATTACCACCTTTTTATTACATTTTTTTTTTCAAAACATAACTGCTTTTATAACATTATATAGACCCATTAAACACAAAAAAAACTGCTCTGGATTCGGGGGCGACCCCACCGTGGCCCTTAGGCAGGCCCTGGATCCCACACCTGTCTCTTATACAC